GGGTTATAAAGGAATTCTCAGTGTTTTCTTTTAGTGGTCACATTTTTTACTTTTAAATTCCAGTCTTTATGGAATTGTCCTGGGGTACAGTGTAAGATATGAATCTAATTTTGCCTCTTATCAGTGGCTACCAACATCATTTATTTTATTTTATTTTTTTATTTTTTATTTTTTTGAGATGGAGTCTCGCTGTCGCCCAGGCTGGAGTGCAGTGGCCGGATCTCAGCTCACTGCAAGCTCCGCCTCCCGGATTTACGCCATTCTCCTGCCTCAGCCTCCCCAGTAGCTGGGACTACAGGTGCCCGCCACCTCACCGGCTAGTTTTTTAGTATTTTTTTGTAGAGACGGGGTTTCACCGTGTTAGCCAGGATGGTCTCGATCGCCTGACCTCGTGATCCGCCCGTCTCAGCCTCCCAAAGTGCTTGAGCCACCGCACACGGCAACATCATTTATTTTAAAGTTCATCTTTACTCATCAACTTTGAGATGTCACCTTTTTTATATTCTAAATTTCCCATTATGCTTGGAATTTTTTTTTTTTTTTTTTTTTTTTGATACAGAATCTTGCTCTGTCACCAAGGCTGGAGTGCAGTGGTGCGATCTCAGCTCACCACGACTTCCGCCTCCCGGGTTCAAGCGATTCTCCTGCCTCAGCCTCCTGAGTAGCTGGGACCACAGGTGTGTGCCACCACGCCCGGCTAATTTTTGTATTTTTAGTAGAGACGGAGTTTCACCATGTTGGTCAGGCTGGTCTCAAATTCCTGACCTTGTGATCCACCCACCTCGACCTCCCAAGTGAGCCACTGCGCCTGGCCTGCTTGGATCTTTTTTATCCTGTTTCGTTAGTTGATCCAAATAGTCGTGAGCCATTCCAACTATTTGATTGTATAGTTTGAGCAGAAAAAAGATCTATTAGTACTTCTATTTCTATTACCTTATATTTATAAATTAATGTAGAGAGAACTGACATCTTCATTATTTTGAATATTTTCCTCTGATTAAGTCTATTTTTATGTCCTTCAAGAGGGTTTTAAAGTGTTTCATATATAGGTTTAAAAAAAAATCTTCATGTTACATACGTACATTTATTTATTTAAGAGATGGGGTCTCACTGTGTTGCCCAGACCAACCTCAAACTCCTGAGCTCAAGTGATCCTCCCACCTTACCCTCCCTAGTAGCTCAGACTACAGGCACACACCACCACGCCCAGTCATGTTACACTTACTATTGAATGTTTTATCTCAGCTCGGATAATCACTATAGTTAACAGTATCATGTATATCCTTTTGTACTAGATCATTAATAAACATATATCGTCTATATAAACTCGAGACTATGTCTAGTTTATATATGATCCAGTGTTTCAAAGTGCGGTCTACAGTAGTTTCTGGTAGACTTTTAGGGATTTTATGGTATCACAACTGTTTTCATAATAATAAAACATCATTTTCCTTTTTCATTGAGTTGACACAAAAGCAAACATGAGTAAAACTGCCGTCAACATGAATCAAGGCAGCGCCTGCAAACTTTGTTAATGGGCGTTATAATTTTTTACAGTCACACACTCATAGTTTAAGAAAAATAGAGAAGCTTTACTTAAGAAGGTGAAATAATAAAAATGTTAATTGCATCAAATTTTGATTCTTGAATTCACATCTCTTTAATATTCTGTGTAATGAAATGGGAAAGATGCAAAACCACAATATGATGGTTGTCTCAAGAAATTACTTGTACAATTAGATTGCAGGCTGATCTAGTAGCATTTTTTAAAATTGAGATAAATTCATATAAGAAAATTTAACCATTTAGCCATTTTGACTATGTAAAGTGTACAATTTAGTGGGTTTTAGTATATTCACTATGTTAAGCAATCATTACCACTTTATAGTTTGAGAACATTATCCCAAAAAGAAACTGTACTTTCTGAACACTCACTCAATCCCTCTTCTCTCTTCCTCCTAGCCCCTCACAACCACCAGCTACTTTCTGTCCCTATGGATTTGCCTATTCTGAACATTTCATATTGACTTAAAAAATCATATATATGGCCTTTTGTATCTGCCTTCTCTCACTTAGCATAATGTTTTCAAGGTTCATCCGTGTTGTAACATGTGTCAGTACATCATTCCTTTGTAAGGCTAAACATTCTGTTGTATGCATATATAACATTTTATATATCTGTTTATTAATTGAAGGATATTTCAGTTGTTTCTGCTTTTTGTTTGAATAATGCTTCCATGAGAATTCATGAACAAGTTTTTGTGGCAACATGTTTCTAGCCACTTTTTTCATAGAACATTATTTTTACTTAAACTATTCATTAAGATTTTGGCATGAGCAGTTATCTTGTCACTTCAAGGAAAACAGCTGACGATACTTATTACCAGTGATGAAACTTGTGAATTCAAGCAAAAATTCAAATTTTGGAAAACTTGTGTCTGCCAAGTTTTCTAATGAGGTCAGTGATAAAGTTAAGGACTATGACTTTCTACTAGTGTATAATGAAATGTGTCAACATTTGGAAGTTTAATTTAGTGAATCAGTATATTCCAAATGATCAACACGTACCACTATAAAATCATGTATAGGTAAAATGTCCAAATACAAAATAGACCAGTTGGTATTGTAAACCAGCTTTCTTGAGGTAAATTTACTTAACACAGATTTATCCCTTTTTGTGTGTACAATTCAGTGATTTCAGTAAATTCACAGTTTTCCCGTCATCTCAATCCAATTTTAGAAAAATCCCAAAAGGATTTTCATGCCAGTTTACAATCACTGCTCTTTACTAGCCTCAGGCACTACTTACTCTCTGTTTCTATAGTCTTGCCTTTTCTGGATATTTCATGTAAATAGAATCATACACTGTGGTTTTTGCATGTGGCTTTTTAGCATAATGTTTTTGAAGTTCATCTGTATCATTGTGTTTATCGTAGTTAAGTCTTCTTTAATGCTAAATAGAATTCCATTGCATGGATATGTCACGTTTTATTTATCTTTTTTATCAGTTGGTAGACATTTGAGTTGCTTTGTATTTTTGGCTACCATGAGTAATGCCACTATGAACAGTTGCGTACAGGTTTTTTTGTGGACGTACATTTTCAGTTATCTTGTGTATAAACCTGAGAGTGGAATTTCTGGGTCAAATGGCAACTCTATGCTTCCAGTTTTCAGAAACTTCCATGCTGTTTTCCAAGTGACTGAACCACTTTACAATCCCACCTGCAGTACCTGAGGGTTGTAGTCTGTCTACATTCTTACCAACATTTGCTATTATCTACCTTTTTTGTTATAGCCATTCTGGTAGGTATGAAGTAGCATCTCATTGTGGTTTTAGTTTGCATTTCTTTGATAACTAATGATGTTGAACATCTTTTCATGTACCCATTGGCCATTTGAACTGCTTCTTTGATGAATCATCTATTCAGTATTTTGCCCATTTTTGAGTTAGATTGCCTTATTATTGGGTTGTAACATTTCTTTATATATTCTGAGTAGAAGTCATTTATCAGATATATGATTTGCAAATGTTTTGTCTGAGTCTGTGGTTTATCTTTTTTTCTTAATGATGTCTTTGAAGGTTGAAGTTTTAAATTTTAATTAAGTCCAAAACAATAGATTTTACTGTCATAGGACATGAAGGGTTCATTGGTTATGGTTTTTTACTTAACTTTTAAGTTACCATTTGTAAAGTTTTGGTGCCGTATTACTATCTGAAAGGACTGTTAAAATATTACTCCACTGACTCAGAAGAGTGAGGGGGGTTGGGAAGGGGATGGCTGATGAGAGATTACTTAATGGGTACAATACACGTTATTTGAGTGGTTGATACCCTAAAAGCCTGACTTCACCACTATGCAATCTATGCATGTAACAAAATTACATTTGTACCACATACATTTATACAGATAAAAAAATTTTAATTAAAAATATATTCCTTCATTTTCCACTTTCATATCTGTATTAAGCTAGATTTTCTTCGTATATTTCAAACTGAACTGCATATTGCAAACTGAATTGCATATTGCAACAGATTGAGTGCAGAAGTAGATGTGAGAATCCAGGTGTCTTTTATTAATTCAGACATTAAAGAAATTTACAGAAATGTAAAACAATACCCCTTTTGCCACTGATTTTTTTTTAACTTTAAAGATATAGTTGTTTTTAATTAAAATGCTATGTTCATGTGTAATACCTTTATTGTTAATTTAAAATAAATTAATGTATATATACTTTAAATTTTTTTCAGCTTTAATTGCTAGCATAGTAAATATCAACAGATGTAACTCATGTAAACAAAAGCTCTCTGAGGTCATCAGTAATTTTCAACTGTAAAAATTTCCTGAGATTACAAAAAATATATATATTTTAGCTGGGAGCAGTGGTTCACGCCGATAATCCCAGCACTTTGGGAGTCTGAGGCAGTCGGATAACTTGAGATCAGGAGTTCAAGACCAGCCTGGCCAACATGGTGAAACACTGTCACTAATAAAAAAATCCAGTGTTTATATAAACTATCCAGACACAGTGGCAGGTGCCTATAATCCCAGCTATTTGGGAGGCAAAAGCAGGAGAATTGCCTGAACCCGGGAGGCGGAGGCTGCAGTGAGCTGATAGCGCCACTGCACTCCAGCCTGGGCAACATAGCAAGACTAAGTCTCAAAAAAAAAAATGAAAAAACAAAAAAGTCAAAAAAAGAAAACATACTTTGAGAACTGCTGCTTTTAATGTAACATTAGAGTCATACAAGATAGCTGTTATATGTCTGTTGTGTTGCTTTCTGTTTTTCATATAATTTGGTCATGTTTATCTAGATTGTTAGCTTTTGGAAAGCAGGAAAAATATATTTTATTTTTATGTTATTTCTCAAAAGATCATACTTGTCCCTCTAGAATTAGTGCCTAGTGAAGACTTAACAAGAGATTGAAGGATTTCCCACCATGTTAGGGCAGCATTTACTGTTTTGGCTTTAATATAAGTCGCTAAATTTTCTCATTCAGGTGGAAGAACACAATGGTCACATCTTTAAAGCCACCCAATATAGCATCCCTACATACTGTGAATACTGTTCTTCTTTGATATGGATAATGGACCGAGCCTCTGTTTGCAAATGTAAGTATGAGTGATCTTTGAGGAATATTTTTAACCACTGACATTTCTATTTCCTTGAGTTGTCTTATTCTCCTTTAGCATAAAGGAGTTATTTACACTACCTAAATTTTTAGCCTCATCTCTTGCTATACTCTCTTCACCTATTCTTTGTATCTAAACCAGACATTTTGATGTTATTTGGTCACTGAGAGCCTTGTACATGTAATTCACTCTGTCTAAAATGGTCTTCTCCCAGATTTTAGCATGACTTCATATTTCAATTACTTCATGCCTACACTCAAATCTCACCTTCTCAGAGAGCTCTCTTTTCTACCCCCAGTTTAAATGCTACCCTGTCCCCAAATTCTCTATTCTTTTTTTTTGAGATGATGTTGCTCCATCGCCCAGGCTGGAGTGCAGTGGCATAATCTCAGCTCACTGCAACCTCTGCTTCCCGGGTTCAAGCGATTCTCCCTGCCTCAGCCTCCCAAGTAGCTGGGATTACAGGCACATACCACCACGCCTAACTAATTTTTGTGTTTTTAGTAGAGACAGGGTTTTGCCATGTTGGCCAGGCTGGTCTCGAACTCCTGACCTCAGGTGATCCACCCACCTTGTCCTCCTAAAGTGCTGGGATTACAGGTGTGAGCCACTGCACCCGCTCCCCACCCCCCAAAATTCTCTATTCTTTTACTCAGACTTAATAGTCTTCATAGAACTCATTACCACCCAAAATTACATTAAGTATTTGTTTTCTTGTTTTTCAGTCTATGCCTCTAAAATATATGCTCTATAGGTCAGGAAACTTATTTGTCTTTTTTTAAAAATATATATCATCAGTACCTAAAACAATGATGGCACATAGTAAGTTTCAATAAATATTTGTTGGTTAGATAGACCTATAGATGGATGGATGGATGGATAAATGAATAAATTCTTAGATTATAGTCAGAAAGGTACTTTTCCTACTGTAATCCTTTTAGCAGATTACAATAGAAAAATATAAATATATAAAATATATAAATATATAATATATATTATTTCACGTATAAATATATATATAAATATATATACAAATATATAAATCCTAAAATGTGAGTAGAGATTCTTTGTAGATCAACTTGGTTCTGGCTCACAGTGGACCTTTAGCCTCCACTCATTTTATACATCTGCTCTGGTGCTATTATTAGTTCTGTGAAGCTTCGCTTTTACTAGTGGGCTAAAATTGAATGAAGCAAATACCAGGAAAGGACCAGATCCGGTATGACAGCAGTTTGCCACAGAAAAATTGCCACTATTACTATATATTTACTTATTCCATGGTTCAACAGCAGTTTTGCTTTGGTTTTATTATCAGTAGTCTAAAAAATCATAATGAGTCTGAAAATAGGAAGTAGTTTGAAATGTATTTGACTCTTTAGTGTAACTATGATTCTTGTAGGTTTAGTTTCTTCTGTAACTTAAAGCTAAAAATTTAAATGATTTTCTTTTTTATGACTGTTGGGTTGGTTTGATTTTTTTTTTTTTTTTTTTTTTGAGATGGAGTCTAACTTTGTTGGCCAGGCTAGAGTGCAGTGGCACAATCTCAGCTCACTGCAACCTTCGCCTCCCAGGTTTAAGTGCTTGTCCTGCCTCAGCCTCCCGAGTAGCTGGGATTACAGGCACCCACCACCATGCCCAGCTAATTTTTGTATTTTTAGTAGAGACAGGGTTTTACCATGTTGGTCAGGCTGGTCTGGAACTCCTGACCTCAAGTGATCCACCCGCCTCGACCTCCCAAAGTGCTGGGATTATAGGCATGAACCACTGTGCCTGTCCTGATTTGATTTTTTAATAGATTTAGCTAACTTTCTTTGTTGTTATCCTGATGATTTCACCAGTACAGTGACATGGCCTTCCTTACTTGATCTTGGCCTTCAGAAGCCTACAAGTTATATTTTACAAGCTCAAGAAAGGATATTCAGGTATTGGTACACAGAAGCCAGAGCTGGTATAGCAAAATGAATAAGCAGCGGTGTTCTCAGTACCTTCCTCTTAATATGCCTCTTCCTGTTCACCAGCTGCCAAGCCACCCTGGGTTATCACCACTTCTGTAAATTATTTTAGCTCTGAACCTTTTCTTTATCCCATCTTCCCAATCACAACTGAATATTCTTCATGTTCTGGTTCTTCAGAGCTCTGTTCTGAACCTTTAGAGATGATAAATAAGACCTTTCTTATATCTTATTGTGCTACCCAATTTGTTTTCATTTCAGGAAGGGTCTTTGACATTAATGCCTTTCTTATCTATAGGAATGATTCTTACTAGGCATTTCTGAGATTTTAGTATGTTGTAGAGCATATATGTGGTGGAACATGAACACTAATTTGTGAATCAAACCACAAATATAAGTATCCTGCTGGAATTTATTGGGGAGTGGTACTGTGTAGCATAGGAGCAGGATGAGCAATTTTGAAAGAACAAAAAGCTTTTTCATTGACTGTGGCTAGAAATTTTGATCATGTTTTCAATGTCATTATACCAAATAGAATGGGCTAAAATTCTTTTTAATTACAAAGTATGTATGTCTTTTCATTGTACAAAGTATGTATGTCATATTACTTACAGCAGTCTGACATTTAAAGAAAAATAGTAAGTCTAAAATAAAGTATACTTGATAAGTTCTTATCATTGATGTGCCGATTTCTAAAACTGTTGCATTCCTCACCTATTTTTCAGTATGCAAGTATGCTTGCCATAAGAAATGCTGTCTGAAAACCACAGCCAAGTGCTCTAAAAAGGTAAGAAATTATCTTCTTATCAGTAATAGATAACAGACCTGTTGGTCTTTTGTGCCTTATGGAAATAAATTAAGGCCTTTTTGGTAGTTTTACAGAAAAGTGGTTTTTAAACTTTTTGACCACAAATCACAGTAAGAAATATGTTTTATGCCATGATCCAGTTCACATGTTTGGTGATATATGTACAAAACTAAATTGATTTTCATAGAATTACTTTACTATTACTATATGTGAGTTACTAAATTAATTTCATAAGCCACAATTTGAAGAACACTGCATTGAGGTTTCATACTTCCTTAAACACTCATAAATCTTCCTAGGAATTATCCTCAATGCAGTAAGCTACAATTAAAGATCAACAAATTTAAACATGAATAGCAAAATTCACCAGCATGGATGGTTGTTGTTTTTACATATATCTCTTGGGTACACAGAGATCTAAAATATACTGTACACATACTGTTTGATACCTTATGTTTCAAGGAAGTAATCTTTTAAAAAAAATTCAGCCTTTTATTGATGTATGATCACAACATTTTCTTGTTCATTAATCACATACTGACAGTTGTTACAATAGCATGTAAATCTGAAATATAAATGTGTGTCCATGTTGTTTGCAGTAGACCAGTCATGGTAAAGTACAGAGAGAAATTTGATTCAGGAATTAAAATGCAAAGAATATGAGTGAGACATTTGCTTCCAGCTAAGATGAAGTAGCTTGTGTCAGACCACTACTAAAAATGTTTGTTGGCAAGCATCAGGGAACTGCCCAGGGAAATTGTACCTTAGGAGACTAGATTTTAGAGAGAAGAGAATGCAGAGTAGTGAATCTAGATCTGTGAGATCTTTTTCTTCTAGTGGAAATTGTTCAATTTTTGCTGTAGGACAAGAAACCAATATTCTGGGCAGAAGGCCACATTTAAGATTCAGAGAAGTCAGCAGAGCATTTAGCAATCTCATAGGACTTTAGAGACAAAAGTTGAAATCTGGGACTGACAGGACTTGAGGGACCATGATCCAGTCATCTGCAGAAGGCAACCTGAAACTCAGAGATTTTCCACTCAAGGCATTTTCTTTTTTCAATTCTTAAAGTCTAAGACGTTAATCAGAAAAGAAGACTGAAGTTTTCTGCAGTCTCTCAATGCTAAGGAGAGAAAAATTAGGGTTATAGTATCCCCTTTTGAAGAGAGGGGCCCTAGGCAATACTGTAGACTCTCAATGAGACCTCTGAAGAAGTGCACTCTAGGAATGGGGGTAAACTACTGATAAACTGAGCTTAACAAAAACTACAAACTAACTTTGAGCCACTCCTTGAGTGTATTAAGGTGACCTGCTCCTTTTTCTAATAAGCCACCCATCAGAAAGAATAGGATGAAGCCTCTCTAGAAAGATAACATCATCCAGAGCCTTTGTAACTTTTTTCCATATAATCTCAGACATAAAGAAATAAGACTAGGGCCGGGCGCGGTGGCTGAAGCCTGTAATCCCAGCACTTTGGGAGGCCGAGACGGGCGGATCACGAGGTCAGGAGATCGAGACCATCCTGGCTAACACGGTGAAACCCCGTGTCTACTAAAAATAATACAAAAAACTAGCCGGACGAGGTGGCGGCGCCTGTAGTCCCAGCTACTCGGGAGGCTGAGGCAGGAGAATGGCGTAAACCCAGGAAGCGGAGCTTGCAGTGAGCTGAGATCCGGCCACTGCACTCCAGCCTGGGTGACAGAGCAAGACTCCATCTCAAAAAAAAAAAAAAAACAGTAATTGGGAAAAAACATTGCACACAGTTCCAAAAAGTAAAACTTCAATTTTCTGTGTATTAAATACTACGTTGAATCCACAGAATAAAATAATGTGAGGCATTATATTAGGTATTATAAGTAATCTAGGGCTGACTTGAAGTATACAGGAGGAAGTATATCTGTTATATGCAGATACAGCACCATTTTATATGAAGGACTTGAGTATCCATGGATTTTGGTATCCGTGGGGGGCAGGGAGGGTGTCCTGGAACCATTCTCCAAGGGATAACTGTATATATTTAAATATATATTTTTAAAGAATCAAATGGAAATTCCGGAAATGCAAAATGGAGTTAAAATTATAAACTGAAAATATAGGTTTAATCGTCATAGCAGAAGAGAACTTTGGGCCAGGCGTGGTGGCTTATGCCTGTAATCTCAGCCCTTTGGGAGGCCAACTTGGGTGGATCACCTGAGCCCAGGAGTTTAAGACCAGCTTGGGCAACACGACGAAACCCCGTCTCTACTAAAAATACAAAAATCAGTTGGGCATGTTGGCACATTCCTGTAGTCTTAGCTACTAGGGAGACCACGGCAGGAGGAACACTTGAACCTGGGAGGTTGAGGCTTCAGTGAGCTGTGAGCATGCCACTATACTTCATCCTGGTAACAGAGTGAAATCCTGTCTCAAGAAAAAAAGAGGAGAAATTTGGTGAACCGAAAGATAGGTTGGTAGATATATCCAGGCATGGAGAGCAAAGAGAATGGAGAAATACAGAAATAGATGTGAGAGACATAGGGGAAAGAATGAAGGTTCTTAAATGTATATAATTGGAGTCCAGGAAAAAAGTAGAGAGAACAAGGCAGAAGCAACATTTTAAGAGATAATGGCCAACACAGCAAGTCACAGGTTCATAAAAACCTTTTAACCTAAAGTGGGACAAATATAGAGAAAACTACACCTAGATGTGTACAGTGCTCCAAACAAACAAACAAAAAAATTTCTTAAAAGCATTCAGAAGGAAATAAGCATTACCTAAAGGAGCAATGAAATTGCTTGACGATTGACAACTGAATTCTGGACAGAAGTGATGGAAGCCAAGAAAACAGTGACTTGTTATCTTTTAGTGTAAAAATAAAGACAACCCAGATATCTGTACCCAGTGAAAATACCCTTCAAAAGTGAAAGTGTTGTGAAGACATTTTCAAACAGAAACTCAGCAGCAGACCTGCACCAGAATTTGTCACCAGCAGATCTACACTAGAAGAAATACTAAAGGAGGTTCTCCAAAAAGAAGGAAAATGGTCTCAGATGGAAACAGAAATAAGGAAGGAATGAAGAGCAGTAGAAAGAGTAAATAATATGCATAAATATAAATGTATAGTGGCTGAAAACAGTCATAATGTCTTGTGGGGCTTAAAGTGTATACAGAATTAAAATGCATGACAACAACACAAAAGCAGTTGGTTAAGTGAAGTCAAAATATTCTAAGGTCTCTGTGTCATGTGGAAACTGGTAAGCATGCTAGAAATATATTAGACTTAAATATTTTGTGAATATTTGCTAAAGTAACCACCAAGTAAAAGAATATGTAACTTAAAAACTAATAAAGACAATAAAGTGGAAAAACAAAAGTAGTTTATTAATGTATTATAAAAGAAAGTAAGAAATTAGAGAAAAACACAAAACAGGTTGACAAAGAAAAAATAGCAGATTGACAGATATAGATTGAAATATATTGGTGATCACGTTACATGTTAAAAGGGTAAATGCTCCAAATAGAAGACTAAAGTTAAAATCAACTGAAAAATCTCAGTGATATGATATTCATAAGAGACATAATTAAATATAAAACTATAGAAAGATTGAAAGCAACAGGATAGAAATAGATGGCATGCAAAGAATAACCAATAGAAAGATGTTATAAAGTGTACTTTAAGGCAAGAAGCATCACTTCAAATAAAGGTGTATCATAATGAAGGGTCAAACCATCAGGGAAATATAAAAATTCTAACATTATAAGCCTCTAATATTTAGTTTCAGTATCTGGAAGACAAATTAGGAAGGATACAAGTGATAAGAAAAATTTGATGTAATTGGCATATATTAAACTCTATGTCCTACAGCTGCTAAATGCACATTCTTTTCCAGTGCATGTGAAACATTTGATAAAATTAATCATGTGCTGAACCATGGAGCTAGTCCCTGTAAATTTCAATGGATTGAAAATATCGGTAGTATGTTCTTTGACCACAGTGGAATTGAGCTGTAAATGAACAAAAAGATAAGTGGACAATTCTCAAATGTTTAGAAATTAAGCAGCATATTTCTAAATTACAATAAAAGTGGAAAAACATTTTGAACTAAATGGTAATGGGTATGATATAACAAAATACATGGAGTACAGTTAAAATTATCCTAAGAGAAAAACTTACAGCTTTTAAGTGCATACATTAGAAAGTGAGCAGGTTTGAAAATGATCTTAACTTTCATCTCAAGAAGGTAGGAAAAACCTCCAAAAACCCATCTAATTAAACCTCAAGACAGTGGAAGGAAGACAATAATAAAGAAATAAATGAAATCGAGATCATTTGTACAGTAGAGGAAAATCTACAATGCCAAATTTTGGCTCCTGGAAAAGAATTTAAAAAATAAGTAAACAAGAAAGAATAATCAAGAAAAAAAATTTTTTTCAAAAGCAGCAATTGTCAATATCAAGAATAAAAATGTGGATATCACTGCAGATACTGCACAGATTAAAAGGATACCCCGAGGCGGGTGGATCACAGGGTCAGGAGATCGAGACCATCCTGGCTAACCACAGTGAAACCCCATCTCTACTAAAACACAAAAAATTAGCCAGACATGGTGGCATGCGCCTGTACTCCCAGCTACTAGGGAGGCTGAGGCAGGAGAACCGCTTGAACCTGGGAGGCAGAGGTTGCAATGAGCCGAGATTGCGCCATTGCACTCCAGCCTGGGCGAAAGAGCAGGACTCCTCCTTAAAAAAAAAAAAAAGGCTTTTATGGATAAATTGATACCAATAAATTTGATAATTAAGATCAATTGGACAAACTCCTTTGAAAATACAACTCAGTTAAACTAACTCAAAAAGTAGGAAATCTGATTAAAATCTATTAAAATAGAATTTGTAGTTTAAAATCTCACAAAGATATCTCCAGGCCCAGATTTCACCTTTGAATACTTCCACATATTTAAGGAAGAAATAACACAAATCTTTTTATAAACTCTGTCAGAGA